TACGCAAACACATCGATTTTCACTTCCTACCTCCAGAAATAGTTGGTAATATACCTCGTGATGAAAGACATTGTAAAACCTGCGGCACTGGTGCGGTTGAAGACGAATTTCACTTTGCATTCGAGTGTCCAAGTTATAGTAGCATTAGGAACAATGCAAACAATATATTAAAAAATATTTTTCAGATGAACATTACAACGGATTCAAAACAAAACTTATTGACGCATGTGATGTCATGCGATGATTTAGTTATAATTGAGCTATTTTCTAGCTTTATTTCAAAATGTTTCTGCCTTAGAGACAGATGCCTTAAATCTGGGGACACCCCTTAATTACTATAATATATATACTCTTTTGTTTATACTATATATTATATATTTTTAAGAAACTTTAATCTGAACTACACCGTAGTCATGACATTTGTTCTTGTTATAATAAGATAGTCAGTGCTCTTAATAGCACTTCTACTTAATACTTTAGCAATACCTGTACAGGTCATGCCAATAAAGTTGTTAATAATAATCCACCAATCACAAGTGACGATTTAAATACATCGATTAAACTACTAAATGACACCATTTACACCTACTTTGCTGAAAACTTCGGGTTTGTGGAACGTCTGCCGGATAAATTACTCAATGATAAATACAAGAATCACAGCATAAAGGACTTGAAGAAAGCATTAAAACTACTTAAATTATCCAACTCTGATCTTGCCGAAATTAAATATGTCTCTCGTCTCGTGCGAAATAAGCTGAAATCTAACACAACTAATGATAACAATAATGTCATGCATAATAGTACCAATGAGTCGTTTAACCACGATAAATACTTTGAACGTAATTTCTGGGGATATGTCAAGAAAGTCATAAATTGCAGCGAATCGGAAAAAACGTGGATTTCCGAAAACCTGGACTCAGTTTTCAAACAATACATTCGTAAATGGTTTGAGGTACCTATTTCTGGATCACTTAGTAACATTTACCTAACCAGTAACAAATTTGGTCTGAACATATTATCCCCCCATCAACTAAATTCATACAATGTCAAACAACTATCCGCAGTGCTTTGAAGTCATCTCCTAATGAATCAATAACCCACCTCTGGAAGTCGACCTGTAATCATACTAACACCCAATATGATCAGTATACGTCGACAAAAGAAGTAATCAAGTCATTCGGTGAAATTCATGTAGATAAATTGGAAAATCGGTTAAAATGTCAAGGTTAATTCTTCTCCAGCATCTCAAAATTTTCACTACTCCAAGTAAATTTAATTCGATTTGGCCAACCTGTCAATCCAAACTACCAAAAAAATTTTCAACTTCACTATTCGCTACATAAACAATTCGCTACCAACCCGTAAAAACCTTCAAAAATGGGGACTCTCTTCGTCCTCTGAGTGCTCGTTTTGCCTTAAACCTGAATCTCTGTTACACGTTGTTGCTGGCTGTAGTTCCTATCTTGATCGATTTACTTGGAGACACGACTCAATCCTGAATTTTATTGCTAATAACCTCCCATCAGAACATATTCAGACCATTTATGCTGATTTACCGTCATTCCCTAATCCCTCTGTTATTACTGGCGATGACTTTCGTCCTGATCTACTAATTTTGACCAAAGACAATTGTCTATATGTACTCGAACTAACCGTTGGATATGAGACTAACCTAAGGAATAATATACAGCGCAAATACTCAAAATATAAAGAGATGATCGTAGAACAAAAGAACAAATTCCGGCCGGTAAAGTTCATTAACCTCTCAATCAGTGCACTCGGTGTTTTTGAAAAAGAATCTTCAGATTTTATACAAATGTTGGAACATTTGAACTCAGATAAGGCCTGTGTTAAATATACCATTAGGAAAATTATTAACATTGCAATAAGAACCACATATTACGTTTTCTGTTGTAGAAACAAGGATTGGTCGAATCCAGATTTAATGAACTTCTAGTTAGTCTGTTACTTTTTGTATCATATAATTATGACCATATGTGTTATGTAAATGTAGTAATGTATAGTGTATCAAGTAGCCAATTGAATTACCTTTAACAGTGAGATTTTCAATTGTAAGTGCATAAAAAATTCAATAAAGTTTTCATTATTATTATTATTACTATTATAATAATATCAGTCCATCTGTTATCACCGGAGATGAATTGCGCCCTGATCTTTTGATAACACTTGAAAATAAATGTATTTATATACTTGAACTTACCGTCGGATTTGAATCTAATCTCCTCACTAATGCAACTCGAAAAAGACAAAAATATCAAGATCTAATTAACGAACAGCTCAAAAATTATAAAAAAGTGAAATTTGTAAATTTATCGATTAGCTCATTAGGAGTTTTCAGCCACCCGTCGCTAGATTTCACCGAAATGCTGAAAGATCTAAAGTTTGATGAACAATGTAGAAAGTACTATGTTCGGAAAATTATTAATATATGTATCAGGTCCTCGTATTATATATTCTGTAAGCGTAAAAAAGAATGGGATAACCCACAACTAATGTCATACTAATATTGTTATTATGTAGAGTGTTAATTCAAGTAGACACTGGTAAACTACCTGTAAAGAGAGGTTTATCATTGTAGTGTGTATATATATTATTGAAAGTAATAAAGTTTCCATTTTTAATTCTTCTTCTTCTTCTTCTTCTTCTTCTTCTTATTATTATTGTTATTATTATTATTATTATTATTATTTTTATTATTATTATTATTATTATTATTATTATTATTATTATTATTATTATTATTATTATTATTATTATTATTATTATTATTAAACTTTATTTAAACACGATACTATTTCACAAACTACTTACATTTAATTTAATTATGTATAAAAGAGAAGGAAAAGAAAAATGTGATCTTCCAATAGGTCGTGTGTTAAAATATCTTATAAAACTATCTACAATATACATATAGACTATTCAACATAATATTACTTACTAATGTAACAAATGCTAACAATATTTATTATTAGCATGAAAAAATTACTGGATGCTGATTGGTTGAGAGGAGTACAATTATTTCATTAATTGTACTGCAGTACAATTTCCCAAAACAAACAAAATGGTGGAAAGGTATCATAAACACAAATGTGAAATGAAATTGCCCTAGAAGAACTAGACGAAAATACGAACAAAAGCACGAAATGTTGCTTTAACAAAAGAACTAAATGAAAATACGAAAAAAAGCACCAAATGTTGGTTGAAAGTCTGGCAGGATTGGACTTTGGCGAGAGAATATGATGTTGACATTGAGAAGTATCCAATTTTGTCATATGCTAATAATAAACAAGTAATCATGCGATGGCGAGTACAATTAGGGATTAATTGTACTCGTGATGTTTGGAAATTTGCCAAATTGTACTCGCCCCGGCGGCTCGTCCAATTTTGGCAAAATTTCGAAACATTACTCGTACTATTAATCCCTAATTGTACTCGCCATCGCATGATTACCTATACTAAAATGTACTCTCAATTGATAATCTTGAGTTTTGCTTTAAAAATATTAACAGTTTCAGAATTTTTAATTTCACTTGGAAGATTATTCCAGACCACTGCACCTCTATAGCTAAATGCCTTTTTCAGGTAATTTGCTTTAAGCTTCGGTGGTAGGAAATCATGTTTGGCTTGTCTCGTTTGGTGTTCATGGACCTCGTTCGTTTTTTGAAACATATTACTTAAGGAAAAGGGACCATTTCGTATCTAACTTTGTACATTAATGTATTTAGTTGTTGATTTCTTCTTTCCTCAAGGTTGGGCAGACAAGTTGGTGTAGTAAATTTAGAGATCGAACTTCGTACCCACTCGTTGTAATGATACGGACAGCTCTATTTGGTAATCGCTGAAGTTTATTACAAAGTGTGGTACCAAGGCCTCCCCAAACTTGGGGACAATAATCGAAATAAGGTTGTACTAAAGTTTGATAAGCGGTAGTTAGTACTTTTATGTCAAAGAAATCCCTTAATCTCCGCATGACATTTAAGCCCTTGTTTACTTTTTTCGTAATACTGGTGTAACCTTTCATGCCAAGTTAATGTCTCATCGATCATTAATCGAAGTGATTTTGTAACTTTGACTCTTTTTATTTGATTGTCGCCCAAAGTGATTGGTGGATCACTTATGAGAACCGATAACCATGTATTCTGTTTTGCTAGCATTTAGGCTTAATTTGTTTGCCTCCATCCAATCAGAAACGTTTATCATCCAATCAGAAACGTTTATCGAAAATAATGCTGACGTCAGCAATTTTCTTTTTGAAGACGCACTAACTCAGGAGGAATTAATCGTAATTTTTGGTGATATAAACAAAATATAAAACTTTCAGTATAGTAACTGAAATTTCTGGAAATTGGACACAAATCTACAAAAGGCCCGGCATTAATTAATCCGCAAACTCGATAATTTTATTTTACAGATTTTGCCATTTAACAGAAACTATTACACAAAATTAGACACAGGTAGTTCTCCAATAACGGGGTTCTAAGACAATCGAAATACACATCAAAGCTCCTTTCTAATTCGAGCAACCCGAGCACAGAATAAATAATTACACCAGAAGTCTCCGCGTTTTTACAAGCGATTCCTCATCAATTCACGCAATCTTGGCTACAACGACCGGCACTTTGTACGTACCAAAACCTGATAAAAACGTCCGGTTGTACTAGCTAGGAACGGCATGAGCAAGTTAATTTTTTACGGACGAAAACATCAAAGGTTCCGACTCAAGTTAGATTTCTGGTGTAATTATCTATTCTGTGACCAGGGTGTGGAACAGCCTAGCTGACGAACTGAAACTTAACATGACAAATATGAACTAATTTAAATCTACAATCCTAAGTTATTACTTCCGTCCTTTAGAAATTTCCTACGATCCTCAAAATCCAAGTACATTCAAAACCATATGTATCAAGTGTAATACCGCTCGAACTCTGGTTCAGCCTCTTATAAGTGCTGCTATTAGCTAGTTATAGTTTTATTTAGTAAATAGAGAGTTTTATGTTTGCATGTGTATGTCCTAATACAAATGTCCTAATACAAATGTATTCATGTAGGACATACAAATGCAAACATAAAACTCTCTATTTACATCCGTATGTCCTAATACAAATGTCCTAATTCAGTGATTGGCTCACGCTGTTACGGTCACCCTGCCTATAGTCATGTATATTATTAATTCTTGTTAGGGGCGTAGGAAGCATCTTTTAGTTGAGGGGGCCATTAACTATGAGGGTACGTGCCAGCTGAGAAATGGCACATGTTCAGTGTTGGTGTTGTGTACTCAGGTGAATATGAATCAGTTGGCAGAGCATTCGGCTAGTATTCCAAAGGTCGTAGGTTCGATTCCCAGTAGGTTCGATTCGCCCCCAAACATTTGGAAAACAGAAGAGTCAAACAGATTCAAAGTTTTCAAGTTCATACTTTGAAATTGGACATATTTTGAGAAAAAAAGGAAATAAAATGAACGAAAACCGCTAATTATTGTAAAAATATCACGAAGAAAATGTGTTAGGAGGTCCGGAAATTTAAGTACCCCGTCGCCGATATTTCAGGGAAAAATGTTATATGTTGCAAAATATTTCTGAAATTAGCCCCCTCAACATAGAAACTGTTCCGCCGCCACTGCAATCAATACATATAATTTATAGAAGTATAGTGACATCGGTACCGGTTATCTGAGTAACTAAAAGGACTGACAAAATACACAACCGTTGTTAATCTTTACCACATAAATACACAGAACATACTGAACATTTCGGCGAAAGGTATGGCTAGTCTATAATAATCTGTATTTTTGTTCAGACAATTGCGTAATTTGATACAATATGATCGTTTTGACTTTCAAAGGCCCATAAATCGTTACAATACTAATAATGACTATAACTATCGTTTGGAACTAGTTGATATTTTATTTCTGAATCGAATGCTGGTATTTCTGTCTTCATAGCATGCACTGAACCGAAAGTATGAAATTTCGAGCCGTCGATCGCTCGCGATCGACGCGAATTGGGCCTGTTGAAAAGAGTTAAATCCATACTGAAATTTGAAATTCAAATCAAGATTGCTCTTCACTTTTACATATCAATTAGCCTTTCTTACGAAGGCCAAAATCCGCCATTTTTGGGGTACTGTCTGCGTTCGTGAAAGATTCTAGACAATTCAAACAACGCGAAAAGCGACTTTTAAAAGTTGTAACTGTAAATTTACCATTATACAAGCAACTACAATACTAAAAAGTTGTATTTCGTGGTGCGGAGATCTCAAACATAGGAGAGGCAGTACCCCAAAAATGGCGGAAAATCGACCGTGAGAAAGGTTAATTGATCAATAAAGAAATAACAAGGGCGCAGTACTTCATTATTTAAGGTCATTATCAGGACTTGAGTGATCGCATATATATTCTATGCATGTTTTGGGATCATTTTCAGTGCGCTAATTTTAACCAAATGTTGAATTGTTTTGTTTCATGGACATCAATTTATTAAAGGGCACTTTTCTCAAGAATTGCAGATTATTTTGCGGACAACATTTTTCACGAAGGCAAAGGGCACTCTGCCACCAGAGAGAGGGTATTTTGAAAACTTGGAGGGCGGCCTTGGCCCCCTTGCCCCCCCCCGATTCCTACGCCCCTGATTCTTGTTCTTGTTATAGTATTGTGTATTGTAATATGGCGAAACTAATAAATAAATAAATAGTATGAACAATAACAGGCTTGCAGACAAACATACAGACTTATAGATCAACAAACAAGCGCAACCAATTACAATCAACGATTTACAACTTATGTGACAGCAAATTTAACAACATGGCCGATCGGAAAAATTAGACAATGGGCGAGTTGTGTGACCCTTCACACAAATAGACTTAAATTTTCTCGGATCCCCAGGATTATAAATTTCTTATAGTTGAGATCCTTTTAATGTTGCATTAAACAAAGTTTGAAAGAGACCACAGTTTGAAAGGTTTTGTTGGTTTCTCTGATCAAACAGAGGAATGCTGTATCCTTTCCGGAAGGAAGTCTTTTATATATATTATGTCATATTTGATGAACTGCCAACGAGTTGCCTAGCAACTTGATTAACGGCAGCAGCACAGCGCTCTCAAACCCGTTCTTCCAAAATATTTCTTTTTTTTTTTTGGGGGGGGGGAGCGAGATATAAAATACAGGAAATTTGCCTTATTGCTAAACACAGGGCCGTACACAGGGGGGGGGGAAGTGGAGCAACTGCCCTCCCACCCAGAGAAAACTATATTTACGATTTTTAGAATGTCATTATTAATTATTCTTTGGATATTTGGGACTTTTTTCGGCATATAGGCCTTACTGCGCCCCTGGTGAAAAAATCCTGCGTACGGTCCTGGCTAAACACTGCACCATTTATATGACATCCTGACTAGAACTTTGTGACAATACACTATATTGAAGATAAATGTTCGAACCTTGGACGTGAATACGTGATGCACCTGTTCTCAAGTACTGGCTTCTTAATTATAATATTTTTAATGAAACCTTTTTCCGACAATGTCAATAATGCTCAAGGGCCTGCTAATATATGCCGTACAATATTATATATTTCCATGTGGGGATTAAGCGGCTAAAGCTAGCCCGCTGTGCACACTCAGACAAAATTTTGACATTTTATGACATATTTTTTTAAATTTTGAACTCTCTTCAAGTAGTTAATGACCGTCAAGTTGTATTTGGGTATTTTAAAATTACATTATTGTCTTAATATTCCTAAAACAATACAAACATGGCGCATTTCTACACAGTACCTAGCGAGTTTCTCCTTCCATCGCTTGTATTTAAATTAATCGCAATGATTATTGGAGTTTTGGGAAATATCACAGTTATAATTTATACAATTTTCGTGGGCAAAGAAAAGACAGCAGCATCTTACTTGGTGGGAAACTTGGCACTGGCAGATCTTGTCGTGTGTTTAACATTTTATCCAGTATGGATCATTGAGTTTATACAGACTCTACTCAACATTAATGGTGATCAGTATCTATTTTGTAAATTAAGTCGTTCTGCCATCTGGGCATTGCTCTTTGCTTCAATGGCTACACTCTTCGCAATTACTGTTGAGCGTTATTTCTATATTGTAAAACCTCTGAAGTATCCGCTGATTGTGACCAAACGACGAGTTTTTCTGGCTATTTCAGGAATTTGGCTGACTGCGTGCTGTCTTTTAATTGTTTTACTAGTTTCTTATAGATATGACTTGAGATTAAGGAGTTTATGCCACATTAGAAATCTTTATATACATCATCATTTTATTCATAGTTTCATTGGCTTCTTCCCACTTACTTTAATAATAATTCTTAATATTCGGATTTTGCTTGTTGCGAAGAAACAGCGAAAACGTATCTTGGCTGAAACAGCGCTACCCGTTGCAACTTCCAATGGACAACCTGCAAACAAAATGAAGGCTATACATGGATTTTTTCACGCTCTTAAAGACGTCAAGACATTTTCTATTGTTGTGATAGTGTTGGTTTTCTGTGTCTTAACTCCAAATGTGGTTGGGGCGGTGCTACACAATTCCTGTGGCGAGTCTTGTCGACAGATATGGTTCGTTGTTTTTCACTATGAATTTTATGGAATAAACTCGATCGTGAATGCTTTCATCTATGGAATGAGACATGTGAAATACCGAAAAGGTTATCGACATATTCTTTTTAAAATACTTCGCTGTAAGAAACTCTGAAACAGATCGAGGCTGCTGCCTCACAACAATATACCTTTGCCTAACTTAGTTACCGCGCTTGTGCAAATATACTAATTAATTAAGAAGAAAGCAATAATATATTAAACACCGCTGACACTCAATGGAGCCTTCTTAATTATGGATGATTACTGCAATTCTAAAATACTTTTACAAAATACACGTTTTAATTTCTGATGAAATGAATTGCTATATTCAACTACGTCGGACCACGACTTTCCAATTTGCGTTCAAATCATGGACGCGCCACCGCACAACCGCAGCTTCGAATCGCCGGCACGAACTCAAGACAATCACGTTGCAGCACGAACTGCAGCCAGCAGCAACCGCACGAAACGCAAGGCGAAACAATGTGTTAAGTTTATTACGTTTGATCCTCACTTCGAAAGGAAGCGATTGTATAAAAAGCCTAGTCTGAGTAAATTCAAGTCTATAAGACGTGAAAATGTAAACTAACTCAGGATCACGAATAGTTTAGACGTTCACTAATATTTAACTGCAAAACAGGATACTTAAAGGTATTTAAGAGTATGTAAGCCGGCGTAGATGCGTTTTCATCCAGTATCATCTAATATATTTGGTCGAGAATATGAGTGTAACTATGAGGATTTCGTAATATAACAACATTGCACCATGATAGAGTTTGTATAAATATACTAGGAAATACATGCATGCAGAAACCCTCATCTTGCTTAACCTCGTTCCCAGGCTCTTTCCTCTTGTGGAGGAAAGACTCTGGTCGGAGCTGGTCACGTGACCCATAGAAAATTGATAGCCTAAGAGGGGATGGGAAAGTCTCATATTACATATTTCCACTTCCGCACTTCACACTTCGATTGCAAGGAGTGCCCGTTCTGTACAATCATCTTTGAGCATCATATATACTTCAAAGTTCAAAATACCTGTTCAATTGGTTTCTGTCTGCTTTTAAATTATACAAACATCCTAAAATGCAGATTCTTATTGCAACAGACAAGTCAGGAAATCAAGCAACGAAAACGTATGATTGTATGCTTTGAAATATTTGCCCTTTTATTCTCTCGGGATTCAAGCGCAGTTTCATTTCATGAGTACGTTTCTGTTCTGGCTCTGGTTCAGATATTTATGATATTCTTATAATATTCCATTGAATTGTTATCATAGCGTGTAGGTCGTAGCGTCTTGCTGGTTGGGAAGCGAGAGTTTGTATGAGAGTTGATGAGAGTTGAGAAGCGAGAATTTGCATGAGCGTTTGCATGAGAGTTGATTCAGTTGAAGAGAGTTTAGAAACGAGAGTTTGCATGAGAGTTGAGAAGCGAGAGTTTGCATGAGAGTTGATAAGAGTTGAGAAGCGAGAGTTTGCATGAGCTTTTGCATGAGAGTTGATTCAGTTGAAGAGAGTTGAGAAATGAGAGTTTGCATGAGAGTTGAGAAGCGAGAGTTGGCATGAATGTTGATGACAGTTGAGAAGCGAGAGTTTGCATGAGAGTTTATCTATGAGAGTTCAGAAGCGAGAGTTTGCATGATGTGCGTTGATGAGAGTTGAGAACGAGGGTTTGTATGAGAGTTGATGAAAGTTGAGAAGCAAGATCGAGTTTCTCTGATATCTCATCTATTGCAACCCTCCCTCGCTCGCGTTTGACCGCCAAATCTCATACACTTTTTCATCAACTTTGAATTTATTCTCAGAATGACCAAAGTATTACACATAGGAGGATAGTGGAATTTTGAACGTATTAGCTACCTTCAGCTGATATGTCTTCAGACTCGTTAGCTTTCGTGGCGACGTCATTGTAAAGTTCTCGATTAACACTTGCGACAGTTTCGTAATCTGGCTCCTGTTTTGATAATAATGACTTTTTAATGTCGATTAAACGTGTTGCGTTTGCCGAATTCACCTATGATTAAAAAACTAAGGCCTAAGGCTATATAGAAATAGTTTTTGGTGGCTATTAGTTTTTAACTGTTCTCCTAGAGGTCCAGGCTCTAGCACTTATTTATCTATATGTTACTACAGGAAGAAACCTAAACTAAACTAACTTTAATTATACTGGATAGTTCTATCAGTTCTAAACTGTTCTTCCCAGAGGTCCAGTAAGGGTCATTACTCATTGAACCAGTGTTACTACTGGAGGAAACCTAAACTAAACTAACTTTATTTATACGGGATAGTTCTATCACTTCTAAATTGTTATCCATAGAAGTCCAGTAAGTATCATCTCTTATTGATCCTGTGTTACTACGGGAGGAAATCTAGACTAAACTAAACTAACTTTATTTATTCTGGACAGCTCTATCAGTTCTAAACTCAAATTTATTTCATAATTTCTTAATCTCAGAGCCAAAGAATATCAACCTGGGTTGATACTAGACAATTATCAGGCTGAAATATGAGCTTTGCCCAAAAATGCACGCACAATCAATTCATGCAGATAGTGTTTAAATTGTTAGCATATGTGATAAAAGGTTATTAAACAGTTGAACACTTTGAAATATACATTTTATTAATCCTCCATCCCTAGCTACCGTACATTGCATGTTATAATATTGAAATGCAATTTTTTTCCTGATTGTAGAAAGCGTTATTTGAAGGTTCAGTTGGTAGTACGAACTGAATTATATTAACGTACCTTCATAGTAACAATAGTATTTCTTTTCTCCATCCAAAAACATATGTTCCCCTCTCTGGTCATCTCCATTAATTTCATCTTCTGTATCAAACACAATATACTCGAAGTAACTAAATGCACACTTCACCATCTGACATTTGGGAGTGTCAATAGCGTTAGATGTTAATAAACAAAATGGTTGACTGACTGCGAGTTCAATTGAATCATACCAGTTAACATCAGTTTGACAACAATAGTATATCTTGGTATTTTTATCATAAGAACCATCAGGTAGAAATCCACCGTTTCCATTTTCGTTCTTATAATTTGTATCATCCCATCTCACCCAGCCTGATGTCGTATCTTTCGGACACCCTCTACGTTTGTAAATACAATATGAACCTGTCAAAACAAATTAAAATACATTTTCATGGGGAAATCGTTCAAAAAACGTATAATAAAACATAAATAAATCATTTTGATTAAAAAATCATTCTGATGGCATGAGGAATGGCATGCTTCCACTCACCTCCTCAGAGCCGTGTAGTTTTAAAAACACAATGGTTAAACATGGAGGCTAGCTACTTTAAATAAATTATTGAATGAGGTCGAGTACGATATTGATGAGGAATTATTAAGGCCGAGGTTTGTGTTATGTATTGTCTGCGAGAACCGAATTCAATATTTGTTTTATTATTTATTTTTTATTATTTATTTATTTTTAATTTTAGCTTCCCCAAGGTCGGCGAACCTTTCCTTTGAGGAAGCCATTTGTATTTTCTCGCTTTTGGCATGAGCCGCATAAATTAGCGTGACGTCATAGCGTGTAACAATATACACTTAATGTCTGCACCCGAGGGAAATAGTTAGTTTTGTTTTCCCGAGAATCTCAATGTTTCCCGAGACGAAGTTGAGGGAAACATTGAGATTCGAGGGAAAACAAAACTAACTACTTCCCGAGGAAAAAGACGTTAAGTGTTTTGTTATATAGCGACGAAACAAATATCAACATTGAACAACATTCATACAACAATATTTGTATTTCATGACAAAAACTCTATAGCGTAAACGAGTTTAAAATTTAAAAAACCTACTTAAATGGTTTCAGCAGCATATCCTGTTGCCTGTTATGTATTTTTCTTCTCTTTTACATTCTTTATTTTAACACAAAGCTACGAAAACAGTAGTTTAAATAGTATAAATTTGCGCCGCCATTTTGTTTATTTATGTACGTAGCCGTTCGGGGCGGGCAACAATTTTTCACTTATTGCCCGTGACTACGAATCATCCAATCACGTTTGGTGTTCACACTAGCTATATAACAATTATCACTTATTTACTGAGACCGAGGGAAACATTGTGTTTTGTGGACCCGAGACCGCCGTTGCGAAGCTTTGTAATCTGCTCGTTTTGTAATCTGCCCGAGGCGAAGCCGAGGGCAACATCGGCGGTCGAGGGGGCACAAAACACACTGTTTTCCCGAGGTCTCAGCAAATAAGTGTTTTGTTATATAGTATATAAGTGTCAAAGTTTAAATAATTCACCGGTTATTGGAGTGAACTTAATTTGAAACCGGAACTGGATAATGGAACGATGTCATAACTCCAAATTTGGGCAGCTACCGAGCTGATATGACGATTTCACCGACAGTTCTAAGCCAATCAAAACTCTTGAATTATTTTCAATAAATAATAAATATAGTTAAACACGCAGGCTATATATATAAACTCGCAAATTATGAGGCATGTAGGAAAACTGATACCTTACATTTTCCAGGTATAGCTAGCATTCATGTTTATTTATACTGTGCAGCTCTGCGGAGGAGAATGGCATGCATCATTTTGATGGCATGAGGGCTAGGGATTTTGTTCATTTCTTATAGTAACGACTGCAGTGAATATTTTGAGGCATTTGTTATGATGGTATTCTGTAAATTAAGGAAACTTAGCATAGGAATTGTGCCATCAAAGCCTGAAAGTTTCACTGACATTGCGTTTTCTTTGTTTTGGAAACACCTTTGTTTCCCTTTCATTCATCCAATTAAAAATAATAATAATAATTATCCAAATATTTATATTGCAGAATCCCTGGAGTTCATACTGTAACATATGCATTGGTAGTCAGTGTATGCATATAGAGAAAAACTTACCTTTAGACATTGCAATATCTTGATTCTATTCCAGTACAGTATTTCGTTTCATGCAGAATGTCCTGTTTACATCTTTTTTTACGTCCAACTAATGTGATATCCATATGTGATCCACTAGATACTCTTGACCGACTACTGGTACTCTTATCACTGTCATCCATATCCTGACACCTCCAGCCCTCGCGCCACCCATTCTTCTTACTACCTGGACATCCTGATTTAGGTCTAGGAAGACCATAACTACCACTTGGCCATTCATCACCTGCAAACATTGGAGCCATGTGTAATACTACTGATTAAATTATAGTACATAAATGGTTACATGAGACCTGGACAAATCAAACCGGAACGACTTCATGTCATTCAGAGTATTATTCATAATCTCGAACTGTCTGTGCCAGTGTAGGTATAGTGGCAATAATATTACAAGTTTTCGTTGGTAGGGATGCAACTACCTGAAAAATATAAGGAGAATTTCGATGTTTCGAGCGAAGGCCCCTAACTATAGTAACTCCAGACGACATTATTTATAATACATATATGTTTACATAAGGCCGCATTGCCAGAAATTCAGGACAACATGGCGATTGTCATACGCAATGTATACTTCCTCATTCATTATTCAAGATGGCTGATTTATATATAGATTAAGTATTGCAAATATATGTTTTAGCAATTTCCAGCTTTTTTCGTACATAAATCCGAGCTCTGCACGTCGAAAACATCATTTAATTACTCGATCCTTTAAAGTGCCACTAACCCCCTAAATTTTTTTTTCATATAATAAATAACCGCTATTTATGGAGTACAAAACTGGAAAAATTTTTTTAATCGGTTGAATTCTCGCAATTCTATGGCTTCTCAAAGTTTGCGCACATTTGTTCCACGACCGAGCTTTGGGAGACTGGTGAGAGAGGAATGTGTGACGTCAATTGGTGAACTCATGCGAAGCCTCAGTTGTAAACACTATACTTTACTATTACAAAGAAGCTTTATTTCGAAGCAATAATTCGCGGGTTTTTATATCTTTTTACAATGTCTTCGACGGATGCATCTTCAGAGGCTTCTTCGTTCGCATCAGAGAACGAATATTTATCCGAATATGACGAAATGTCAGGGATAGAAGGCTTAGAAGCCGATATATCTGAAGCGGAGCAAATCGAGACATTGGACGATGTCACTGCCGAGATAACTGCTGCTGACAGTCCTGTGGTTTCAAGCGATGATGATGCCTATGCTTGGGTGGATGATCCTGTTGCTGATGAGGAGTGGACGGAACAATATGAAGAAAACATGAGGGCAAACGAGGTCATTAAAGACGAGATGCTGAAGCGTTTGCATGGAACCACAGAGCTTAATGAGTGGTAAGTCGCAAATTTTGTTTATACTATACGATTTTAATAAACATATTTACGTTAAAGATTATTTCATGGCATGGCAAGCCCACTCATGTTGTCAATATTACATAATTTATATTAGGTGCAAATGTGGAAATTGTAGCCTGGAGTTTTTGAGTAATTGGCAAGAATGCAATTGCTGTTGTGAGCTGGATGGATGCCAGGAGTCCTTGTCTAGTGAAATTGTCCAACAGGATCTGGGTGATGAAGACAACATTGTCTGCATTACACAGCACCCAGGCTTCAGACCAGTTTGCCTCGAGAAGTGGAGTTTACGAATGGCTGCATGGACATACAAAACGAAGGGTAAACAGAGATACAAACAATTGGCAGGTGAAGAAAGGTGAGCTGTTTTCTATTCAGATGTTGCTTTAATACTTAACCATTCAATAATAAGCTGGAAACATGGAAATGAGGCCATTGGGTCAAAAGCGAATAAACAGTAAGGTCTGTTGTTTCCACACTCAACAGGATGTTCAACATATAGAGTTTTAGCCTCTTTCAGGGATGGATTTATGGGGGTACACACTAGCATTGAGCATGATTCTAAGTAGAAGCAGTACTGACCTGTTCCATGACCCAGTGTCCCATAAAGCATCACCATCTCAAAAATGTTGGTGTGAGCAAAATCAGAAACTATATATACCATGGCTATTATAGTTTGGGTTGTTCTTTGTAACCATATAAAATACTATTTTATTGAAATAGTTTTTTTGCATTTGTCTACATACCATTACTAATGATAAAGTTGTTCATTTATCATTTCTTCTAGGTTTTTACGTAGTGTGGCATACAGGAAGTTTACAAGGATGGTGTATGGTGTAATTGGAAAAACAAGAATCCCACTGCCTGCATGTGCATACCATGCAATAAGGAAGAAATTTCCACTAACAAAAGATGAATCATTTACTGGATTTGAAATTGATGAGGATGATGAAATATTTGAATAAATGAATGACTAAACTAACATACAATAAAACCCATCGTGTAAGAGTCTGCCGTAGATGTTTACAAGTTTCAGTAGGTACAGTATATAATTTATATACATTATTATACATTGTACTTGGTAAAAGCAATTTGATTGGCTAAGAGCTTACAGTTACACAATCATGCAGATAACTGACTTATCTACAAATGAGCTTGCAATGATTAGCAAGCAGTATCTATTTAACACTAACAAATGTATAATAAACAATGATTGAATTCAGGCAAAATTATGAAGGTGTCAGTAAGCGTTATCAGCCTCGCCTTCAGCTCGGCTGATAACACTTACCTCGACCTTGATAATACCGCATATCACAAAAACCTCATCCAATAATTGTTAATTATGCGCAAATTATCTTCAAAATAACAGTATTTCGAATCCACTACTTTATAAATAGCTTATTCTCTTTGATTGCTGTTTAATTTTTTGCTTCTTCAATAAAATAAGAAGCTGTTTTGGAATTCTAGTCTGAACAGGTTCTTTTGTAAAGAAGGGTTTTACTGTACTATTTAAATATTATACTCTAATGAAACCTATATGGAACATTTTGTTTGGTATCAACATAAATGAGTTTTGAATTTTGTTCTTATCAGGGATAGAAAACAAGTGAAAGTACAGCAAACTTGATACAGTAGTGCATAATATCATTTATTTAACAAATATCACCACCCTCCCCATAAAGTCACCCTCCCTATAAAGTCACCCTCCCTATAAAGTCACCCTCCCTATAAAGCTCCCTCCCTATTAAGCCCCTTCCAAAATTATCACCACCCTCAAAATAACACCCTCTCTATCAGCCCCCCCCCCTAAATAAGCACTACCCTCCTTATAAAGTACCCACTCTATTGAGTCCCCTCCTAATAAACACCACCCTGCCTAGTAAGCTCCATCTCTAATAAGCACCACCCTTCCAAATATTTCCCCTCTGTTAAGACCCTTCCTGCTGTAATATAAGGCCCAATCTCTATCATAAATCCCCAACCTGCTAAATAATGCTAATATGCTTTTATGAAAAAAAAAACACCTCCTAATATGCCCTCCTTCCTTAAATGCCTTATCCATAAAATAGACTATGGTGTGCTCCTTGCATTCCTTGGACAATCTGTGACAAACTTGTGTCCTTTCATGGGTTGTTTACATGCCCTGCATTTTGGTGGTGCTTTACACTTCTTTTGGCTCTGTGCAACAACTAGTGAAACTACAGTAACAAAAAGATTTATATTAACAGCAAGCATACTGGGTTATCTACAGTGGCGGAAACTTTGCGAAATATAGGGGGGATGAGTGCCTTTGGCACAAGATTTCTAGGGGGTATGGGGAAATGCTCTTGTTCGGATCGCTATCAAAGACACTATTTAGAGTGTCATTTTCGAGCCAAAATCTTCAAATTTGTATCTGTCATAGTATTTCCATTTCTGGTTCGACTGTGAGCTAATCCCAACTGGAAATACAATTTCAAAACAAATGTAAATAGTGTGACATTTCGATCTCTGGAAATGCCAGAAATCAATTCTAAAGGTGAAAGTGCGCCTATACACATGATTTTTTACGTCATCTGGCTATGGGAGCCCCTTATTTGCCAGGTATAGTTTGTGGCCCTCATGTTGCATTTTTCAAAATGAAAGGTAGCTAAAGTAATCGGAGCGGGCGGGCGAAATCGCCCCCTGCCCCCGCCCCAGTTTCCGCCACTGGTTATCTACATGTAAGCACTTTGCAATTAAGACATGGTACAAAATAATTGAATAATAACAATATGTTTTAATTAATGTTTAATTAAATTAAATACCTGGTGTGGTTGGAGGGACATTCTTCACAACAATTTTTTTCCTCTCATCTCTTTTCTTAACTGCCTCTGCTTTTGATTGCTTGTTAAGCATCATATTCATAGCAGGTGGGGCATTCTCTTTCAGTTGCTTGGCTGCCTTTTTGAGATCATCTTTGGTAGCATTAAGAAAAGTTTGAAATATTTCTTCGATGTATTCTGTACAAATCAAACATGGATATATACGTGGGTTCATGGTATACATTGATCAATATTTCACTATAATTATTTCGGTCAAATATGGTGGGTGTGTATTGTATGGTGGATGTCTGAGGCATAGAGATTATAAATAACACTAGACGACACATCAAGGTTAAAAAATGGGAACGCGGCTAATTGGGGGAAAATTCAAGTCCCAGATATAAAATTGTGCTCTCATTGCTCCCCCCCCCTCCCCCTCATAGCAGCATTACTTTTTTTGCCTGATGTCAAGATTGCGATGTCTCCTCTAGTGTTATTTATAATCTCTATGGTCTGAGGAGGGTATAGGCCATAGGCAGGGAGCATATCGACTTCACTAAAACATAGCAAGAGACATAGATGGAGAATATTCTGGGAATTCACAGATACCAAAATTATCTTACCAAAATTTGGCTTCACTCTGACATCCCGAACAACTGCCTCACCATTCTTGAACTTGGGATATGATGCTGTAATCCTTTTCTGGTTGGTCGTCTTGTGCAACTGAACATCTCTTTGGAGGTTACAGTTGAAATGAACAGCTGCTAAGATATGCCTATCAAATTGAAATATTCACAATAAATTAATTTCATCTTGCTGTGATTATAGTAGAATATACTGTATGTCTCATAGAATATATTCTAATGCCATTTTTATGATGCAAAACAACATAAAGTAATATGTGGTAATAAAAGTGTGGTAAAAATACAGTAACCTGAAAAATAAGAACAAAATGACCCTTCATTCTGGAAATTACTTTGAAACTTTGAAGTGCAATTTTACTTTCCGGGTACAATAATTAATTTAATAGTGTGTTGTATTGCACTTGCAATACCACAGACAGTGGAATACTGTAGATAAATCAACATTGGTTTACAAAGTATATGTACATACCGGCAATACATTCCAGTGTAGGAATATGCCAGCATCTTTGGGGCAAAGTGGTTTAGAACAGAATGAAAGCCTTCCAAACAGCTGGTTTGAGCTAATGGTGAAGCTTTCTTTATACCAGCAACCAGGAATTTCTTCGTCAGCTCTGCACAAAGCCGATCATGTAACGGGGTTCCTATATGTGGTGAATGTTATAACATTTTAAAATTGTAAAATATTATATGCTTCAGTTTTTAATTCAAGATATGTATACTGTACCAGGAACATTTTTTAAGTGTAACAGTGTAACACAGCTATCAACAGTTTAAGTTACATACAGTACAACAACCAGCATTCTATCAATTAGTTACTCTACATATTTTGCTTTTATTTTGGGCTTATAAATATAAAATATCTGCTGTACCACAACTCACAAGTCTGTCACACTAACAAATACAATTATTCTAAAAGTTAGTCCAGTCAAATCACTATAAGTACATGGTCCTGATCAAAGTAATTGAAATAGATTTTTTGTCACTGGTAAAGTGTGAGAAAAGTTGTTCTGATTAACATATTAACACATGGTGAAAATCAAGTTTTTCTTACTTCTACCTATAGAAAACCATTGCATTGCGGACAAAATGTTGAAATTTTGAAATTTTTTTTTCCAAATATAACATGCATCATTGGAAAGCTTAGAAAAAACTAAAATATAGATCATTAAACGGTTACCTTGCTTTTGCCTATCCAGCCGAAGTTATACAAGATTTAAAATGCCATAAATTTGTATTTTGTGCAAATTTTGCGCTATTTTTCCAACTTTGAGCTAGAATAACGACAAACTGACCAGTAAATTGAATATAACGGTTTAATTGACCTTAATATAGTTTTGTTTAAGCTTTCCAATAATGTAGGTTACATTTGCCTAAAAATGATTTCAAAATTTGAACATTCTATCCACAATGGTTTTCTATAGGTATAGGTATATAGGAAAAACTTGATCTTCACCATGTTCCACCGAAGGGACTTTTTTGGATTTTTAGTATAGTTAATCAGGACACCTTCCCTCACATTTTACCACTGAAAAAAATTCTATTGCAATTTCTTTGACCTCTGGTCACAGATTGACTGGACTACTCTATTAAAAATTTAGTTATAAACTTCTGTATGTATCAAAAATACTCTCTCTTTATATTTTATAGGTGATCATTTTGTTCAACATACCTTTTGTTAACCATTTCCTAGGGCCAATATCACCATGAGCACATTTGTTAAAGAGAGGATCTTCTAAATCAGAGTGCTCATTCACAACATGGCTCATAAATGCTTTAAACTTGGCCCAGATAACCAAGCCATTACCATCATATGTCGATGTGGCACTCCAATGAAGGTGGTTAAGACATGGCTTGATCCAGTCAGCCAAATCTTCAAAACCTTTCTCTTTAGCTATCTTGGACAGCACCTTACGAATTTCTATGAAAAATAAGAAAATAACTTGTGTCTTTACATCATCAAATTATAACTGACTGCCAAGAAACCCACAACCTTGTACCAGGTCTTTCCTCTTGGCGAGGGGAGAAAAGTTAAATTATAAATTGCTTTTTGATGATTGTCGTAAAGGAATCCAAAGGTAGTTAAATAGAAATCTGCTAAATTTTAGCAAATCATGTGACCAGCGTCTACCAGGATCTTTTCTCCACAAGAGGAAAGACCCCGGGTACGAGGTTGAGAAACCCACTGGAAACAAGCAAGGTAACCAGATACTGGTCCTACAACAGTACATGCAATATTAAAAAATTAATTCAACAAACTTACTTTTCTTCAAATGCCAAATGTCAAAGTAATGAGTTATGTGCTTCAACACTTTCCTCATATGACTGGAGATCGACTTGTGCCTATCGGAGATGAATGTTTGAATCAGAAGGTCCCAACCAATTAGATCATCCATACACTTCTTGAATACCATAAATTCCATGGCAGGACTACTTCCAGCTTCATTTCTCTAAATTCAAAATTTAATGTAATCCATTATATTGCGAATAAAAATTACTCTGTGTTATTTAAAATGCAGAGCATGTCATACTGTATACCTGCACAATGCCGAAGTGAATTATCATGGGTACATTGCAACAGAAGATGGTATAAGCACAAAACTTGGCACTGTGGCCCATACTATCATGCCTACCATCTCCTGCAACAACTATCTCATCACTGCTCTCTTTTTTAACTTTTTCCAATGCATTCTTTTGGTATTTCTCCCAATATATGTGAATTGTTGGAAATAATTTTTCCTACAACAGAAAAAGTATTTTAGTGATGTTTTAATAATACCTTCCATTCAAGACTGAAATAACCAATTTATGTGTTATTTTAACCAATCTGTTTCAATTTACACTTTACAATTGTATCAGCTCCTACTAATACAGTAACTATGTAATAACCAGCACATCCATAGATTAGTATTGAAATGTTGGGGGCAAGATGGTAATGTAAAAGCAACTTATATTGTATATTCTTTTACTCACCCTCTGATATATGTAGTATGTTTTCAAACTGATGCAGCCAAGTCCAATATGTTTGCAAAGCTTCACAGTCCTTCCAGGTGATCCTCCACTAACCAGTATTGAGAAGCTAAGAAGGAAATTACCAGCTCTTATCTGTGAATTTGAACCAGGCATATATGGCTGACTATGCCAATCCATCTCCTGCATACACGAAGGGCATTTTAACTTTATTGAAACACTTGTTCCACATTCTTTCACTTCTATCTCAGGGTTATCATGCTTGCATATTTGGCAGAACTTGAACAATTGGAGTAAGTTGGACAGAAATACAATATGCTTTGGTTCTGTCCGTAGGTTTGTGCCTGCCAGGGGTAATCTAGGAGATAAAAAAATTAAAAGATTATTAAATTCTTATTAATTGAGCGCAAGGTCTTTTTTTGTACAGACCGAAAGGTTGGTACAAAAAGACCAAGGTCCGATATTTCTCTCTAAAGACAGAGCAAGCGAGGTTAATTAATAAAATGTTTATCAAACAAGAAATGCATGATTTGAAATGCATATTACTGATATTAGTAGTATTAGTGGTACACATTTGGTCGAAGAAAACAAAAATTACCAATGTATTCCTTCCTAATTTCACTTAAAACCATTCGCAGATATCTTATTAATAACAAATTAAATTTTAAAATTTTTAATTCATTTTTTAAAATGTGTGCGTTTATTTTTACATAATAGACCGTCGGTCCATTACGAGAAAATGATGGACGGCTGAAAGTGCTTCTCAGCCAATCACAGTCTGCCATTTAACCGGAAGTGATGGTTGCCATATAATAATTACTTCTTAATTAATGAATGAGAATAACACTACCCTGAGTGCCACATGCCCCATTATCTTCCATTACCCACCTACGAGCGTGGAAGAACCTCTGGCACCCGGGGTAGAAAAACACATAAAAACTTGTAATGATGATGGGGTAGGAAATTCATATGTTTCTTGTAGAGATATAACCTGTAACACAACATGTTAACTTACATGTCCAAGTCAATTGAGTCCTCAGTTTCAGATGTTTCTGTTTCAGTTTCATACTGGGATGCATGAGAGCTACTTTCTTCTTCAGAGTACTCTTCTTCCATTTCATAATCCTCCTCATTCTCATCACTGTCAGTAGCAATGACTTCTTCTACTCCTTTGCTTTTCTCTGGACTCTTGACAGCTGTTTTTAATTTCTTTATTCTCGATTCCAAGTTATTTACTAAAAATATAAATGAACATATTCCATTATGGTTCCCTAAAAATATATCAAATTGGCCCACTTTCCAACTCAACCCATCTCAAATAGAAGGAAACCCAAAGGTTACTTTATTCTTACTTTTTCTCCGGAATTTTTTTACTTCTTTTTGTCGCCTTTTCATAATTTCCCTGAATGTTTTAACATCTCTGGACAGTTTTCTGTTCTCTGTTAAAAGGTGTGCACAACTAACACAAGCAGGTGACACATCAGGCTGATCAGGATCCTCTTGACTTGTACTTGCCGATACTTCCACTTCTTTGGATGTGGTTGGCTCAGCAGTAGAACACTCTGGCCTTTCCTGTGAGGATATTGCTTCCTTTACGATCTACAAAACAGTTCATACTGTATCTAGTATCAAATTGCATACAGAAATTACAAACGGAAATTACAAAAATCAGCATGGCTGAAGCCACAAAATACAAAGAAAGCTCTGATGCACAGACTAAACGAAATTGTCTTTCTTATAAGCTTTGCCCAATTTATACTGTATATCAGTTTAATTTAAGTGTTAGTTTCATGTTATATAATGATATATATGTTTATTAAATCAGTTTAGTCACGACACCAGTTCAGTCAAACAAATTAAGTTACGCACAATTATGTAAATATAAAATTAGCATACCATTCTCTTGTCCCTGTCTGAAACTTTGTGTGCGTCAGTTGATGGCATGATTGTTGGGAACACGCAAATTCCGATCTTGTCCCTTTTAAGCCATCTGTTGCCAACGGAGCTTTCACCTTCCACATGGGAAAATCGTCGCAAAAAATCTTCGGGCTTGAAATGCTCAGAGCATATAACTGAATACGACGTCGGCGTCCATTTTGCACGTTTGAGGCTTACGAAGTCAGTCCATTTCTTTCGTCTTTTTTTCGCTTCGGGCCGTTCGTCCCCAGAATAAGGAATTGCATGCAGCGATATTTCTTTTTCCTTATCTCCTATGTTGCTACAACCGGCAACAACGCATCTTTTCGGCATTTTTTCGCTGTTCGTATGCCTAACAAACTTGCCTAGCACTGTAAAATAATACCATATCTTTGTGTTGACATAAACAGCTGGTTCACCAATTGACGTCACAAGCCGAGACAATCAATCTCGCTCGTGGGACAAAATGGCGTCGATTTTAGGGCAATTTTTCAAACTTTGAGAAGCCATAGAATTGCGAGAATTCAACCGATTAAAAAAAATTTTCCAGTTTTGTACTCCATAAATAGCGGTTATTTATTATATGAAAAAAGAATTTAGGGTGTTAGTGGCACTTTAACCGAATAAATTTCAGAACACTTCAAGTAGGACGAATCAGTTCCCGAGAACTATATTCCTACCTTATCACATATACCAGATAGTTAATTCTCCCAAAATTCGCAAAATGCACATTTTTGGGCAGAATTTTAGGACATTCGTGGGCAGTACATGGAGCTTCTGCACGTCTGCATTGATAAAAGTTGAGTTTATCTTTGTTCTCCAACAGTTTACAAACCCGTAGAGGATGGATAAACAGGTTCCAAAAAGCCACAAAATATATGCTTTTTGCAAACAGAAAATGTGTACCTAAAGTAAGTATTTGAACGGCTTATTGTTGTATTGTGCGTATAAATACAAATAGTGCATACGAATACAATGTCGGATACATGCCCGACTGCATTCTATTCTTTCTTGAAATGGAAACTTGGTGAATATGAGCCCGCGCGTCTTTCCGCTGACTGTCCTGGATTTCTGGCCATGAGACAAAAATTGCTCAGACCGGTCTGAAGTTACCTCGCTCGCATGACCGAACTGACTATATCGTCCGCCCGGATGAATTTGGAGTAGGATGAATACATTCCAGACCGGTCTCGGCTGTACTCCTGGCTTTGAAACAAAATGCATGCTCACAAAATCTCTGCAAAAAGGAATATGTGTGTGGCCACACATGCGGTAATTATCGACTGCCATGCAACTCTGTTTCTCGTTTGATAAGGAAATGAGAATGAAAATTCATGGACCAGGGATTTATTTGTATACCCTCAAACGATGTTTGATAGTTTGATAGTTTATTTGACACTAAACTTACAGCTCCAGAATATAACTAATTCCACTTCTGAAATATGTTAGGTTTACAAGGATATTAAGAAAATGAATAAGATTAGACTAAAATACTTAAAAATACACATTCACATATACATATGCGCAGACTTATAATTTGTTACTAAAACACTCTCTACTGCTATAATTTAAATTAGGTTAAAAACCCAGCATATGCATGGTAAAAAGAGTTCTAAGTGATAAAACTGTTCCTAAATTTGTTCGTTTTATGAAGTGACACGTTAAATTTCCTATTTTTACGCAAAAAGTGGCTATTGTCGTATAATGGCGGTAACAAATCCGTTAATTTGTGCTCAGGATTATTGATTCTGATTGGTCCCAGAACAAAAATAAGTTAATCAAATACATTGTTCAAAAACCGGTTTGTGAATGTGATTATATGAACTTTTGAACTTCGCAACGAAGTTTGTAACGATGTTCGCAACATTGATGGAAAAGTTATGTGAAATCAACTGTAACTTGAAAACATGAAAATTGTCATTATAGAAACCATTACTTGGCTGCACATAATAAAATTATGCTTTACTTGAATTAAATTAAAACTCAATATTGTGATACTGTAAACTAAACTTTAATTTCAATGAATATTCAGCAGGCGTATTATTCTTTGAAGTAATAATTTTACTAAACTTAAATGTACAATGTCATATTTATAGTAATGTACGTCTATTAATCATTAACGCACGTATTACGATTAGTTTATATTTAGAATATGGCATTATATATTCAGTTGTTTACATGTAGCCGAGATATCAAGCAGTCTATTAAATAAGAGAATATTATAATGGCGACGAAGATAAACGTATTCTATTAAACGAAACGATGGTGGAAGAGCAGGCAGAGCCTCAACCACTGCAGCAACCGGCTGTACAGATCATGCAATCTGTAACAATAACTCCAATGCCAGAATTTTGCCCAGATGCAAAAATCGGAACAAGCCTTTCGACAAGATGGAACAATTGGCAGTCAGACTTCGAAATGTATATAACCGCAAGTGGAATAACGGATCCAAAGCGAAAACGTGCACTCTTGCTATATCAAGCCGGACCGAGAGTTCGCGAGATTTTTAAACAAATCCCCGAGACAGGAACTGATACGGACTACGACATCGCGAAACAGAAATTAAAGGCTTACTTCGACCCTCAAAAGAATCGGCGGTACGAAGTTCATCGTTTTCGACAAACAACTCAAGAACACAATGAGACATTAGATCAATTTCACACCAGACTTAGAACAATATCAGAAACATGTAAATTCGCAGACGTTGAATTTGAAATCGAAGAACAAATCATTATAGGCGGAAACTCATCGAAAATACGAAAGCGAGCACTGCGTGATCCTACATTTGACTTAAAATCAATGCTTTTAGAAGGACGTCGTGACGAACAGAGCGAATCTAAAGAACAAACTGACGGTGAGGCTAATAAATTAGAACAAAAAACCTAATAACGGTAATTTTTCGAACAGTAGTAATGTTATTTGCAGAAATTGTGGGCGTGCTTATCCACACACAGGGGCATGTCCAGCGAAAGGAAAAACCTGTAATAATTGTGGAAAACCGAATCATTTCGCTGCTGTTTGCCGAGGAAAACAAAAACAAACGCGATCACCGAGATACTCAAACAAAAAGCATGCACAAAGAAATTTAAAAACATTAGATACAGGATCAAACACGAGTTCCGATGAAGATTATTTATATACCATGACAAATACAAAGCACAATAACAAGGTCAATGTTAAAGTAGGCGGTGCCAAATTTCAAACAACAATTGACAGTGGCGCGACAATAAATGTGATCGATCGTGACACTTTTAACAAAATGCAAGACATAAAATTAACTCGCACGAGCACGAAAGCTTTCGCGTATAATACGAAATCACCAGTTGAATTTTTGGGAAAATTCGAAGCGGTAATCGAAACACGAAAACGAATATCTGTAGCCACATTCTATGTCGCTAAAGCTGCGAACTGTGGAAACTTACTTTCTCTTTCTACTGCACAAGAACTCGGACTTATTAGTTTGCATCTAGACAAACTGACATCAAAGGATGCCGCACTAGAAAACATCCTTCAAAAGCATTCTAAAGTTTTTTCCGATCTTGGAAAATTGAAGGGAGAAAAAATTAAACTAGATATAGACAAAACTAAAATTCCGAAAGCACAACCCCAAAGGCGCATACCTTATCACATTCGAGAAAAAGTGAAAAACGCGATAACTGAATTAGAAAATCAAGATGTGATTGAAAAAGTGCCCGAAAATGAAGCTACTCCGTGGGTTTCACCAATTGTAGCTGTTCCCAAAAAAGATGGACAGGTTCGCATATGTGTCGATATGCGGCTCGCAAATGAAGCTATAAGACGAGTACGCCATCCTATACCAACAGTAAATGATGTTAGTTTTGCCCTGAATGGAGCAAAATTTTTTTCGAAACTTGATTTGAGTCAAGCGTATCATCAGTTAGAACTGGACGAACAGTCTCGTTATATAACAACCTTTAGCACTCATGTAGGTTTGTATCGCTACAAAAGACTAAACTATGGTACAAACGCTGCAGCGGAGATATTTCAGTACACACTCCAAACTGCACTGCAAGGACTTAAAGGCGTCAAGAACATAGCTGATGATATCATTGTATTCGGCTCAACAAGAACTGAACATGACGCTAATCTTGACAAATGTCTACAACGACTTGCAATGAAGGGCTTACGACTAAACCGAAGCAAGTGTAATTTCCTTAGTACTACATTGTCATTTTTCGGACAGGTCTTTTCGAAAGAAGGTACTCATCCTGATCCTAGGAGAGTAGCTGATCTATTAAATGCACCTCAGCCAAATAATGCACATGAAGTCAGGAGCTTTCTTGGCATGGCCAACTATAGTAGTAAGTACATTCGAGATTTTGCAACACTAACTGCTCCCCTTCGTGACCTGACGAAAAAGGATGTTCGTTTTGAGTGGACTCAAACACACCAAACTGCTTTTGAAAAGCTAAAAAACACGCTTGCAATTGCTCCATGTATGTCATATTTCGACAAAAACAAACAAACTTTTGTGACAGTTGATGCTAGTCTTGTAGGAATTTCTGGGATTCTTTCTCAGAAACCAAGAAACGGTGACGTAGACAGTCAACAGATAATTGAATATGCCAGCCGAGCGCTGACTGATACAGAAAAGAGATAC